GAGCTCTGTAGTTGTTTTTAAGGACCGACGATCCAACTGTCTGTCCCACTTCATCGTCCAACATTGTTACATGCCGCAACATCAGCTGCGTATGTATTCAGTGCATGACACTGAATGGAAAACAATTTTCCGTCATGACGTATACTCTTAGACCATAGCATATTGTTATCTATTTTTTTTTATATATAGATTAGTGTGCATGTACGTTAATTTAAATCTTAATTTACAATATTCATTTAAAAAGATACAAAGGAAATCAATATTTACGGCCAAATTCGTTGTATTGCACTGCACGCTTTGCAAACTTCGAAGGGATTTTGGGTTTTTCTATTCCGTCGATCATTTGAGTGGGGCGAGGTTATTGCACACTCGCCCAGCTTGGCTCGCAAACTGAGAATGACTCTATAGAATGCTCAAAAATAGCGAAGGAAATCGCGATGGTGAGTGGAAACTGTCGAGGATAGGATGTAGACTGCTTTATTCTTGCAAGAGACAAGAATAGGAAAGACCACGAAACATCTTCGAAGCAATCTGTTCGATTATTGCCCGAAACTGGACGATCACAAGCAACGAACCTTGAAACGCAGAAACAAACAAAACGGATCGAAATTCACCAAATGACTAATCACAAACCATGGTCTTTTGAACTCGTTCAAGTAAACCTAAAACATCTGTTTGCTAAGAGGTCCGCTCAGATCGTTGAAGGAACATAAAAACGCAAAATCCTTCGAAGATCCAAAATACGCAGCACGATACAACGAATTTGGCAGTTATAAAGATCGACTTAGCTGGCACGCATTCGATAATGAAGTGAGATAATTTTTACCTTCTCTGCAATCTCTGCAGGATTCTGAGAACTAATACGGAACAAGACGAAGAACGCCCTGATTGGTTACAAATATCCCGAATCACGAGAACAAAGGGAGTGTCATTCACCTTTGACTGGATAGCACCCGGGATATATCTGAAGTTTAAAATGAAATAAAACCAATCCATTAGATACATCATGTTACATTTACCGGCATATCAAGCAGACCCCAAGACTCTCAAATCCGATCTCCGATCTTTGTACGCCCGGCCCAGTTGTTCATAAAGGCCGATACACACTAGGGGTTTTGATCCCAGAGCATGCTCCAGGCTCATTTTGCACGTGTCAGTACACATGAGGGAGCGTTTTCAAGTTCGCTCAATTTGCTCTGGGAGCTTGCTCCCAAATATTTAACCGGTTAAATATCATGGAGCATTTTGTAGGGTGGAAATTCTGCTCCCGAGGATAAAGTATACCCATGAGATCGTTGGTACACACGGAGGAGCTTTGCTCCCGGAGCGTGTCCCTGGAGCACGCTCCGGGAGCAAAATCCCTCGGCCTTAAGGGTGGCTATCCGTTCGATAATCCAGTGGATAAAGCGATTGGTTTTTCTAAAAAAAAATGCTCATCCACTGGATAGCGGTTTACCTGGTGGCTAACCTCGGTGGTATCCTCTCATGAAAAACTGGGGCAAGGTTGGAGTGAGGCACCGTGAGAGTAACTAGCCTAGCACTAGGCTCTGCAGTAGGGAAAAAAGAAAAAATCGGGGTTGAAAAAGCAAAAAGGCAAAAAAATTCGGCGAGCATTTTTTAATTCCCTTTCTCCCTACTGCAGAACCTGGTCCCAGGCTAGAGAGCAATACCTTTCACTTATACCCACCGTAAAAAGTGTTCCAAGACCGATACCCTCACCATAGAGACAACATAGAGAGGAAGCTGATAGTTAGTTCTCATCTCTAAGAAAGGTCTTGGAGACAACGTGAGCAGGTGAAACCCATTTGCATTGAGACCTTGATATCCCAAGCATTCTTTAAGATTCTTAGTAAGAAGTTCTCTATCATATGGGTCCACCCACTCTGAAAGGTTCTCAGTCATAAATATTAAGGGAGAAAAATGTTCTCCAAAGCCGCTTGCGAACGGGACTTTAGAACGTCCACGCGCAGCTAAAGTTCGGGCCCTGGGTTTTGATTGTTCTCTTTGACTCACGTAAACCCAGTCATGATCAGGAACTTTTCCTGCCATGAAAGCCAGTAATGAAAAGTCTTCATGACTTGTTGGCTGGGCATAGGAGGTCTGGGCAGTTGTTATCTGTGGCAGTTGTTTATGCTCACAGGTAGGACTGGATCGAATCTCAGTCTCTTCCTCAGACCAAGCCTTTGCCTTGGTGGCCTAACAAAGTTAAAATAGCGAGAAATAAGATTGAACTCGTTAAGAGACGAAAGCCACAGGCAGCCGATTGGCAAGGGGTATTCTGAAAGGCCATGCAAATTCTACACTCTCATTTTCTGATGTCGCCATTTTTTTGGCAATTCTCTTTGGCAATTTCCGCAGCTTTTTTGTTTCACTTTTTAAGAAACATTCATTTTCCCCTCAAAATAAAGTTCTACACAGCACACGTTGTTTAACCCGATCATTAATTATCAGCGATCGATCATAGCACTGGCAGTTTTGAATGTTTTTCGGCGATTTAATAACGAGCAACCAAAGTTGTATTTACAGCGACAAGTTTAACGTGAAAGATCGTTTTCGCGCTTCGCCAAAATTGGTTTTTTCCCCCTCTTGCTTAGCTTTTGCAGTTTTTTCAATGACTTAAATTAAAATGACCATTGCTAATAATCTAGTGTGCCCAATATGTCATTTGCGCATGTTAACAACTAGCGCGTCTTCGATCCCCCCCGGTGTTGACGCATATCTATGTAAACGGTTTTCCTTCGCAATCAAACGACAAAGTTAATTGCGCAAATTATCCGCTACTTTCACTATTTATTACAAAAAATTTCGTCCTTGTAAGTTGTTCTTACCCTCTTCTTCATATTCAGGCGCGGTAGTTGCATTTTAGATAAATTGCAACCCATTATAGAACAACTTTGTTTGGTTTAGATAAACTTTCTGAATCACAGCAACGTAAGTCCTTCAGGCACTGTTCAAAGTCACTGAAAAACTGACGTCTTCGCGTGATGGCGTGTCTTTATATATCAACCAATTACGTCATCTGTGACGTGCAAGAATTCCTGCAAGCTGATTGGACTAAAATTCAAATTCAGATTGCGCCATCACACAAGCCTGCGATTTTTGCCTAAGCGGCAGGTAGCTTGGTCATAGATGGTACACAAAGTGTATCCAATTTATTTGAACAGCCATTGAGAACCAAGATGGCGGATTGTCATCGAAATCTACCCTAAAATTCTAGGAAAAGCTGGCCGACTGACTGGAATATTTGAGCTTTAAACCGCCAAAGGTATGATAGACAGGCACATGGCTTATTATGTGCGCAAACAAGGTAAGAAACATTTAAACAAATGAAACAGCTCCGTATGCTGACATCAGTCACTCCAACAAACAATCACTTCTTTTCAAAGGCGAGAAAAGTTCAAATCCAAGTTAAATCCAGGGGCGAATACCCGAAATTCAGGAAAAGAAGGCCGGGGACTTGCTAGTTGTATAGATGTTGCTTATTTATTAATTACATGTAACTAAATACGCCGATGAAATACCTGTAAAACTGAGAAAGCCGTGAACGCCTAAAACACAACGATTACTATTTAAGTCATCTAACTTCCACCACATTCAATAGAAGGCTCTCCAGTTCCTTCATATCAAAGATCACGGACAAACAACCAAAAGTGAAAGAACCTTAAAAATAGAGGCGGCTCAAGCGTCAATTTTTTAAGGTTCTCTTTCACTGCGAGGCCCAGCAAAGACTGTAGAGATTGCAAGTCAAACCATAACTTTATTTTGACTATTTAAATCAGCTGTGTTAAATAGTTAACAGCATTATGCACCATTCAAAGTAAGCCCCCACACCGGGATATGTGGGGCTTTGGAAGGGATTTGGTCAAGATTTGGTCCGTTATTGGCAGCTCTTTGAGTCCCAAGTTGGTGGGTGTCTGCGGGGATGTGGGGCTTTGGTCAGGACTCGATGAAATTTTTTTCATCTTGGTCTGCTATATAGAAGCTATATCATCGTTCAAATTTTAAAGTTTAAAATCTCTGAAAAAGTTCTCCTCACTGGAGCAATATGTAAAAGGTTTTCCAAAGGTTTCACACCGGTGAAGATGTGCGGCCTGTCATCCCTTGCAAGTTGTTGCTTTTAAACTGACGTTAATTATGAACTCAATTGCTTTGTGAAATTTTCATTTCGTGAGGGAAAACAACTCGCATTGGAAACATTTTTAGTTGCCCCAGGGGGTGGGGCAATTCCTGCTCCCAGTATCTTCCATAACAATATTCTCCACATGGTGGGGCATTTGTTCAGAACCAATCCCCACCTATATCCCAGGGTGAGGGGGGTCAGGGTTTACTTAGACTGGTGTGTTATTCAATTGGCATGTACGGGTGTTCTACATCCTGACAATAGACATGTACAAAAGACTCCTTGATCATTGCTATTGTTCAGTTCTCTCCTGTTTCTTACATAAATAAAATTAATAATCTGTTCATTCTAGTAGAAATCCAGATGTAGGAGATGTCAGTTCATGCCATGCTGCAGTTCCTTACTATTTATCTGGTTAAAACAGACATTCTTCTAAAAGGGAGTGTGGCTTCTGTGTGTCTTTGAGCAAACCAACCGAACAGCTTGAGTTAATACAGCGAAATTGGTTTCTCCATAAAGCCCAGTCCTTAATAGAGACACAGGTGTAATCACAAGTACAAAAGTGAGAAACTGCACCCAAGCAAGGGCAGCCATTACAAAAGCATTTAGTATAAGAACCTTTTAAGTATCTGTTCTTCTTTTGCTTATGCTTAAGACAATGTTATTTCACATGAGAACATGATGGACACAGGTATAACCAATAGCAACCAGGATGATGACTTTATTTTTTGTTGCCAACACACTTGACAGGGGGGCCAGACTCACAATGGCCTACTAGTAGCCTAATAATAAGGATTTGTATGTGAATTATCGTAAAATCGATAAAATGGTTACAATGCACATAAACAGCCAATAAAGTGCACATACCTCATAAAGAGTTGTGTCTGTGATGTTTTCTTACTGTTTAGGCCCTGTAAATGCTATTTTAGCAAGGTTTGATGTTTTGGTTTCTCACCTAGCTACTAAGCAGTTCTAGAAGACAAGGTCTTCTTCTTTATGAGGTATGCACACTTTCATGGCTGTTTATGTATACTTGTCTACTTTACAATAAATTTCCATACAAATCCTTATAATTTGGCTTTCAGTACCTAGGCTGTTGCGAGTCTGGGTGCCCTGTATTGCCAACATAAGAGTTTCTTAAATTTCACAATTCTGCTCCTGCAAATGTCTCCTGGTAATGTATGTAACCCAAGTGTGAACATTCTTGAATCTAGACTTGTGTTTATGCTTGTGCCACTATTAAGAACCAGCGTAAAGGTTTATCAAAGCCATGCGCTGCTGTTTTGAATCCCAAATTCAAGCACTCTCCATGCTGACCGGTGATCCAGTATGCTCTGATCTCTACACAGTGCCCACACATAGCTAACATTTTCAATATTATCCTGCAGACACAAAAAATGGCAGTTAAAAATTGCCCAAAATATGAGAGAGATTAAATCCTGAAAATTTTAAACTCAATTGTTCAAGCCACTATTAACACAGAAGAAAAGCACTGTAACCATACAAATAAATAAATTAACAAAGAAATTATTGGTTGCCAGAAATTTGCCAATCTTTCTGTTTTTGATTTTGCCTATTTTTATCAATAATGGGTACTTCTAAACTCTATGAAAAATAAAAAAGGCTGGCTCTGTCTTCTACAAGAATAAAACAAAATAATGAAATCCCACAGAGGTTCAGTTATGAATAATTTTCCTTCATCATCATCATCAGCATCATAATCATTATAATAACAATCATATTAGTGTGATATTGTCAAGGCAAATGTATTACCAAAATCACTGCAGCAAAACAATGACTTTCCAAGCAGATCTACCGGTAAGTACAAAAAATTATTGGGAAGGAAGAAAACAGTTGGGAAAGGTTTACCCATATGGAGCCTGTTTTAATTTGCTTCAATATTTTGAGCCAGCTATCCTAGTTAGTTGCTAATTGCCACTTGTGCATTTCCCATAAAACACCTCGTTTGCTCTCCAAAGTTCAATTTCTCTTGGGATAACTGTAATACCAAGAGGTTATGAATTTATTTTCCAGTGAGGGAAGGGGTAGCCTGCGCGCAGACGAAATTAAACTCTGGTTAACTCCGTCTGCGAAACATCGCCGAAATCCTTGTTCTGGACTTCCAGCTGTGTACCCAGATTTGAGTACGCGCCACGACTGGCCAGTTAAAAAAGGCCTTTGTTTTGTTTGTCGTGATCGCCAATCAGGTTGAAGGGGAATTCGGAACGCACTTCCGGTAATTCGTTGAGTCCGTTGGGGGTCCAGAACAAGGATCTCTGCGCTGCTTCGCAGACGGTACTAATCAGAGTTTAGTTATCGTCTGCACGCAGGCTAGGGAAGGGGAGGACAAGGCGTATTATAAGATATGCACAAGTAGTGATCCTTTATTCCTTAAGTGTTCCTCCACAGATCAAAATGGTTATAATAATATTCACTGTGATGTTTCATTCAAGCCGAGCCCCTTTAATTAGGAACAATACAAGTTAGAGTGACTAATCATAATAATGTTAACAAGAGTGCAAATACTCACTTCTCCACCCTCAATTATATTACCGACTGCATCTCTAAGGATCATAATCTGTTGTACCATAAAAGTGAGTACTAAAACAGGCCCTTGTTCCATAACCTTGGCCATTGCCACCTGCAATGTTATACACAAAACAGGAAGTACACTATAAGATACCATTCTGTCATTCTGTATTACAGGTTAGGGTATCTTTGTGACTAAAAGTTTCATGGCGAGTTTGGATATATTATTTTAACTTTAAGTGCAGCAAGATAATAACCAAATGTAAAAAATATTAATGTAACAATACTATTAAAGTAAGTGGTCATCACCATTCTGGGTTTTTTAGGTAAGGCCCATTGAAGGCTATAGAGTTTCAGGCACCTTTGGAAATGCAATGTGATGTCTGTTTCATTATTACCAATGAAAGAGATACTGCTAAGAAAAAAAAATAAATCAATAATATGTATTTCAATTTCATGAGGGTAGCACTTATTATCTTGTGATATCTAAACATACACTATGGTCCTATCAAAAGATTCTTGTTAAGTTTAGCATACACTGTACAGGAATTAAAATAATAATATTGCATTTTATGTAAAAAGAAAAATTTTATTAATTATTATATTTGTGATTACATGTAGTAAGGACAAGCAGAAACAATGGGCATGAATGATAAAGTAAAATTAAGAAAAATTTATGTTCGATTATTGTCTTTAACCTTAGTAACTAACTTACATCAACCTCTCTGACATCAAGGATCTTTGCCTCAAGTTTTTGTCCAAGCTGCCGAGTTTGCTCAATTTGGGCTGCAAGTACATTGTAAGCCTGGAACAAAATAAATTAGCTCAATAACAAAAATTGAAGGAAAAGGATTCCGCAAAAATGCAGTTTTATGGACTTACAGGTTCATGGCACCAATCTTTTAAAATATCCAGGTCACCTTTTAGAAATGCCTAATAAAGAAAAGTAAAAACATTATTTTAATTAAAAAACAATAATACAAAATTTCCCACTCCAGAAACTATAAGGGAAAAGGGTACAAGCTTTTGGTGCAATGATTTCTGGGATTGTTTGGGTGGATAAACGTGATTGGTTAATGGTTGCCTTGAGTACCATCAACCAATCATAAAGTTGTATTGCTTGTCCACCCAAACGATACCAGAAATGGTTGGGCTGAAAGCTTGTAGAAGACAATCTTGTTCTCCATTATCAAACTGATTTTCCCACTATGCCAAGCGCACGTCTAGTAAACCTGGGGTTGAAAATGCATCCCACCAAGGCTTACAGTACTTTGCGAAACGAAACGAAACGAAACGAAACGGTACTTTGCGAAATGGTACTTTGCGAAACGGTACTTTGCGAAACGGTACTTTGCGAAATGGTACTTTGCGAAACGGTACTTTGCGAAACGGTACTTTGCGAAACGGTTACACAAGCGCCAATGCGCCTAAATTTTTCGCGTTGACGACCAAATCCTGAAAATTAGTAGCCTAGAATGCTTCATCACACCTTATCTCTAGTACCTAGAATGCTACTGAAAGCTTAAGATTTGTTTCCAAAGAGCAATGTATTAGCAGACGCCATCTTGGATTTAGGTGACTTGGAACGTTGTGTATGAACTATTTTAGTGTTGTCTTCGTAACACGTGTTAATTTTGCGGGCGCATCTTTCACACGCAGACATGTAAAAAGAGCGTTTCAGAGCGTTTTTCTTGTAAATTTATTTTTTAATTACTATGATTACCATATATGAATTACAATTAAAGCAAATCAAACAAAAGCATTAACAGTAACAATGACAACAAATGGAACAATGACAAATTTAGTAAAACCGTAACAATTCTTCTTTCTGTGGCCCATAGACGCTTTTTTGTTTGTTTAAAGATAAATTGGCACATAGATTGCATGTTTTAATTTGCTTCAATTATGTTGGATAAGTTAGATCCAAAACTTAACTGTATGTTTTTCGAAATTTGGATTTGGTTTTCTTTAACAAACCTTTGTGCAAAATTTAGGCCAATAAATGTGAACAATTTCATTTTAAATTGCTGACTTGAGTTTCTTAGCCTTTTAAACATTAGTTCGCTTTTAGTTCACAGGGTGTAACATTCCGTGTAGTGCTGAACCGTGTGCTGATATGGGGCCTCCTTACGCCAATCAAACGTTTTTCACACACCCTCGTAAATTATTACTTATCTTGTTGTCATTAGTGACAACAAAAAAACGCATGTTAGTTGCACAGTTTGTAACCTCGTGGCTAGCGACAAGGCTCATAGGCTCATAGCGGTAACCTCATGATGTTTCGCGTCTATGAGACAATAGCTGCCCCTAGTTGTGAACTTCTCCAGGGTGGTTAGTACACAAAGACATGACTGTATTCAAAGCGTACCCATAGAGCCCGCTTACATTTGGCAGGTCCATCAGGGGTGGTGGGAAAGGTTGATTTCAATTCAATTTCAAAGGGAAAACTGGTGTCAGGATTTAAGATGCTGAACAAAGTCATCCCGAGGGCCCAAACATCGATTGCCTTCATGTCCTCCAGGGTTGCTGACGCTAATTTTTGGCTCTCCACGACTATTTCAGGAGCCATATATGGTTTTGTCCCACGCTCAATGTTGGACGTCTTCGCATGAATTAATGCAGAAGTTTGAAGTAACTGTGAGCGACTTTCACCAAAATCAGTTAGTTTGCAGACCACTGGCTCAACAAAGAACAAATCTTCAAATTGATGTTTCTCGACTTCCGGTCGCGTGTAGTGCTTGTTACTGACCAGGACATTCCCTGGTTTTAAGTCGCGGTGTACCACGTTCCTTGAATGCAAGAATTCAAGTCCCTCAGCGATATCAAACTCTGCCTTGGGAAAAAGAGGTAAAAAGTGTTTAAAGGCTTCCACAGTTTGTATTCGATCCAGGCAGTGCAACAAATCGAGTAGATCTGAAACCTGAACATCAAGACCGAATGGAAAGAAATCAAAACATTCATATTCCATCATTATAGCCACCGGTTTAGGACAAACAGCAACAAACTCTGCGACTTTAGGATGCCGTAGATTTTGCAACATCTTCGCCTCCTTTGCTACGATCTTCAGATTTGAGTCTCCCTCGCCGAAAAATCGCTTTACCACCACGGTTTTCTTCTCCGGAATGTAGTTTCCCTTCATCACGGACCCGAAACTTCCCTTCCCTATTTCGTCCTTGTCTGTGACATCGGCCCATCGAAAATTAGGAATATCGTGAAAGTAACCCTTCGTGAGTGATAAGGAATCGAGAAGAGGTATCTTGAAAGCCATGCTGGGCTTCAAAATAAGAAGCGCTGAAGAACACTGTTGTAAATAATGTTTGCTAGCACATGGGCAGACGCCGGTGTCACATGCATGACCCCAAAGCGCGGGAAAATTTGTCACGCAATGCCTCGCGTGACGAAAGAAGGACAAACATTTCGCAAGGTATCATTTAGCAAATTACCAAAATCAATTTTTTTTGTTTGATTTGCTTTAATTGTAATTCATATATGGTACGTACTCATAGTAACTAAGAAACAAAATTACAAGAAAAACGCTGTGAAACGCTCTTTTTACATGTTTGCGTGTGAAAGATGCGCCCGCAAAATTTACACGTGTTACACAGAGGACACTAAAATGGTTCATACACAACATTCAAGTCACCTAAATCCAAGATGGCGTCTGGTAATACATGCTGCTCTTAGGAAACAGACTTAACGAGGAAATTTGCTCCAGGTTTATCTTTACAAATCTTCAGCTTTCAGTGGAATTCTAGGTACTCTAGATAAGGTGTGATGAAGCATTGTGTTGTAACCGTTTCGCAAAGTACCGTTTCGCAAAGTACCATTTCGCAAAGTACCATTTCGCAAAGTACCGTTTCGCAAAGTACCATTTCGCAAAGTACCATTTCGTTTCGTTTCGTTTCGTTTCGCAAAGTACTGTAAGCCTCCCACCAACAAGCAGCACATGCTCATCAAAGAACTTATTACACAATTTATGCAGAGTCTTTTCTTGAGAATGCCAAAATTGAGCAAGTGACAGAAAGGGTCTGTCAGCAGGTTGTGTTTTCATCATGATCATTGTGATCACTAGCCTCCCACGCGGGCATTTTTACGGGAGCCAATATTGCGTCCCTCCCCACAAATGCCTGCTCAACCGACAACATTCCTTTCCCACTGTTTTATTCGTGTGGTAAGTGACCTATCAACAGTGACCCAAGAGTTACCTTTTTCCTTCTTTTCTTTCCATCACTAAGGTTATGCAGGGCATGGGGTACTCTAATTTAATCAAACTGAGTAAATCTCTGAGTCTAACATTTATTAGAGGTCATAAAGCTTTCTCATTGTTTCATGCAGATTGAGTAATTGTTGGGTTACCCTGCCATCAAGAATTCCAGAATTTGGAAAGAACAATGTGATTGGCTACGCTTGGGAAAGGAATGTTGTTCTCGGTTGAACAGGCGTTTGTGGGGAGGGATGAAGTACGAGCTCCACTAAAAATGCCTGTGTGGGAGGCTATGTGATCACTATCATAACATAAAAGAAGTTTAACAAGTGCAGAGATTATAATTGACAAATAAATATAAACTCTTTTCCTATTATCCATGATTTTAGTGATCGCAGAGATTGCTGTGGCAATGATTGTGGACAAAGGCTTCAGTTCTATCATAAGGCTGTGTATACTGTACTACAACAGTTAAGTCTGGTTGATATAGAAGCACCTATGAACAGCAAGTACTGTTAAGCTCAAGCACGACCTTACCTCTAAAACGGCTGGGATTATTTCAAATTCACATTCTTTGAGAAAGCTATCTTTGTTAAATTGTGGGTCTATTCTTGTGATTTCAGCCATTGTCTTGGCAGTATCAGATTGTGAGAACACATCAGCTAAAAAAATAATTAAAATCACACAATCTTGGACTGATAGTTATAGAAAATCATTTTGGGGAAGTTGATTAGTGGTATATTGATTCTCAGTTAGTGTTGGATAGGGTGCGCTTTTCCTTTTACATGCCTACAATAGGGAAGTAAAATTGTGGCTGAATATGGACCAATATACTGGTACATGTAAGCCAAAAGTTTTATAGTCCCATGGCACACCCCAACCCCAAAATTCCGAGAGTAAGCCCCTCAGAAATCACTATAGCAGCGATTTGCAGTGATTGTTACACATAGAAATTAGATGCAGGTTGCGATAGTTTAAGATAAACAAACTCAGCATACCCCGCCTTCCACATGGTTTTAATCACAGGTGATTTGAATAAATTAATTTACTTTTTTCTTTGTACGGTGAGGTAGTCACCTCTTGGACATACATGTGTAGGACCCTGTTGAACAAGCAGCAGTCACAGCCTTCGCATGTTTGTGTGGCAAAATTGCAAAAAAAACACTGCACTTGGGATTGAAAACTTATCTGAATGCAGTTAAAGCAGAGATCGATACAAAAGCGATTGCTTTTTTTCGGCTATCACTAATTTCCCTTCCACTTTTTCTTTTCTTTTTACTTGTCTTACTAATTTTTTTGAACCTTTTTATTTGTGTTAGACAATTTTCAAGTTTGCATGTATGTACTGGCAAGCATGAAAAGTCAATTTTTTCTTCAGGCCCTTTGTAGTATAATGATCATGAAAAGTGCCACTTTGTCTAAGAGTCATTTTACAGTTGGTCTTGTTGATGTACTTGTGTATGACTGTATGAAATTCACTGTAGTATTATTAACACTGACTTACTAAAAATATCTTGTAGCTTGTCTGTTACTACTCTTGACGCTCGCACCACCACATTGTCACTTTCATCATATTTCGTTTTCAGATTGAAAAGACCTGTAAAATATTATTAAGTGGGTCAATAATAACTGCTTATAAACTCAATTACATGAATAACTTTACGCAACAGGCTGACAACAGTAATGGCAACTAGCACATCAAAAAAGCAATACATTTAACAACAACTTTGCAGTTGCTGCGCACTTCTTTGTACATTTCTTTGCTGTCACTGTATGACTTCAAAGTGAAAACACCTCATTTCCTGCTTTATGTGGGATGTAAACAAGCTGCAAAAATTTTTTTGCAAAACTACCTTTTTGTCGGTCATGATCATTGCAGGTACATAAGAAAAGAGTAAGGTTGTAAATGCTATAATTATCTTTACCAGTCACTACAGGATTGTTGTCTTTAAACTCTTGCCATTGTTGATACCATTTAGAGTCTCTGTGGAGTACCATCCCTGTAGCATCTCTGAAAAAAATAATAAACAACATACACAAAAAAATATATTATTTTTATTATGATGCAGGGTTGTCACTAAGATTTCAAGTTGACGGGTAAATACAACAAGTAGGCGGGGAATCAAACGGCTAGGGATTTCTTTTGGTTCTATTTTTCTTCTATTTTCCAATAAAAGTAGCCGGGGGCCACTCTATTAGTAGCCGGGGAAAATCCCCGGCCCCCAGCTCTTAATGACAACCCTGATGATGTAAACACCAACGAAATAACAGGTGAACTCTGGGGCGAAAACATGATATATGAAAACTTTGAACTGCAACATACATTTATACACTCAGCATGAAGCAGAAAATCTCGAAATCTATGCTTAATGCCAGCTAGTTTAACATGTTGAAAGACACAAAGAGTGCAAATTCCATCCCCATAATAAAATATGACAAAAAGAAATAATTTACTATGAAAGACAACCACACATACTCATTGGCATCGATTCTTCTCTCCTTCTTAGCCATTTCACCTTCTTCTCCAGTTCTCCTTCTAAGCTTTTCTAAAACATTCCAAAAACAAGAACAACATCACTATAGAAGATTTCACTGTTTACAAATATTATTAAATATTTCAAATTTCTAATGAGTGAAACAATAGAATATTTTGTTTAAAGTACCAATGTACCAATGTACAATGTACCAATGTTTTCAAGTACCAATGTATGTCTGGTTGGCACTTTAAAATCTATAGCTGATGTCAGTGTTAGTATTGCTATAACAATAATATTGTAGATAAAAATCCAGTTAATAAATAAGAAAGTTATTCTTGCAGTTAACACTTCAGTTAGTTCCTTGAAGCTCTTCCACCACTGACCCAGCCACTTAGAAAATCAAATTATAGTGATAATGCTACATGGATATTCCTTAAGTTTTGCTCCTATGTACACTATAATATTTCTTGCAGCAATGTCATCACTGGCAAAAAACCAGGCAGGCCAAAAACCACCTAGCTGAGAACAGCAGGGTTCTCAATAAGACCTGGCAGCCACCGAAATTTGCCAGCTATTTCACATGAACTCACTGCCAACTTTTCTTTGGAAGTTACCCTCCAAAAAATCAAAATTTAATGATTTCTCCTGTGTTCTGTTCAAACACTCTAATTTTTGCTCCAGAAAGCTGGAAATGCACTCTGAGAGGCCAAGATTTATAAATTTTTCCAGGAGCCCCCTAGTAACTCGCATGTTTTTTCCTTCTCCGCCTACTCCAAGGCTTTTGCCACCCACTTAAAACCTTACTGAAAACCCTGGAATAGTCAATGAAAGAGCTCAACGAGTTGGGTCTAATATGGGGTAAAGAACAGGCCAAAGCTCAGGGTTGAGTGACAACATACATGATGACTGTGGCCTTACAGCACATATCCCAGACAGAATGAAGAGGTTGAGTGACTCCTGGCTCGTGGCTATTAATGACAGCCCAACAATCACCACATTTAGCTGACTTACATGAATTCGAGTACACTGTAACCTCTTAAATACAAAACTCTATCAGCAGTTGTCACACTTTGCTTACCTGGGGTCCTGTAAGGTTTGGATTGTTCAAGTGTTTCATCGAGAACTTCCTTCTTAACTGTTTGAAAGCCCTGTGGATTTTAAGGAAATAGAATTTAAACTCTATCATGCACTAAAATACAATATTAAAGAAATATAAGTAGCAGATACAATGTAAGTAGCACATACAATGTATGCTAATCATCAAAGCATTCTACTATCCTCTGTACCCCTTTTAATAGCGAGTCACAACATCAATTTTCTTATATAACAATATCAAATCATAATCAAGAGAGAAGAATACAAGAATTAATGCGAATGATCACCTATCATGGGGAAATGGTTTGATCTTTAAACAAATTCTGCCAACTAGGTCTTTAAGAAAATGGATGGAGCTCAGTCTAGAGAAATTGTACGTGGATACAGGGGTTTTAATAAAAACTGATGTAGGCATGTATGAAAAGAGTATCCAACTGTATCAACAAGGGGTCATTAGTCCCCTTTTTCTATGGGGGAGGGGGTATGGGGGCGTACTTCCCCATAACATGACTAAAGGATAATGTAAAACCATTTCATTTAGATTTTATGATCCTTTTTTATTTACCACGTTATTCAAACTAGCTGCTTCTCAGTTCTTTCTAGAAAAAAGTAGCCAACTGCTCTGAGCAATTGCCGATGTGTTTCGTCTGCCATCAGTGTTTATTGGAAGCCCTGTGGATATTGGAGCTTAAAGGCCTATAATCACTTACTGCCGACATAGCCTTAAAAGTATCTGTTTTTCCAATGACTTCACTTTGCTCTTGAACCTTTGAGGCAGCCTCCTTTGCAGACTTAGCAAGCTTCAAGGAAACAACAACAAAAAAAAGAAACATGCCAGTTAGATTAATGAGGCAATTTACTGCTTCTGTTTCATTCCCCATTCACACTTGTTTATGTGGATGTACATGTAAATATTATATTCAGGTTACAATTTTTAAACCTATTCTCGGTTTTCACATGACGTCATCAAAATTCAAACTAAGAAACTATCGATTCTTCTGAGATTCTGAGTTTCATGAGGGTATTACAGCACCTAAACACCTTTATTTAAACAGAGGTTTGGTTCTTAAAGGGTTCTTCGTTTTTGCGATAGAGGACGTTTGAATTTCTAGGCTTTTTATGTGACGCGGCATTTAGCTGGCGGCCGGGACTGCTCTTCTGTGGGTTAAAAACATTACCAGTTTTGGAAGATTTTGCTATCTAAACATTCCTTCTCTCAGAATAAATATCACTTTAATAGTTTATGAGTTTTTTTTAAGCGATGAATTAACGCATTAGTAGGAAAACTAAAAACAGATGTTTCTGTTGGTTTCCGGCGGCCATATTTGTGCCCCTCAAAGGGACACAAACATGGCGCCTCCATACAAAGCTTTATAAATTTGGGTAAAACGTTTTTCCTGATATCTCGCATATGAAATATCGCACAGACCTGATTCTTGGCAAGGTCTTTTGCTTATTTATCTTCTTTTATTTCCAAGATTCGGGACTTTCTGTATCGAATGGTTTGCAATTTTATTTTTGATTGCGTGACAGTGAAAACCGAGAATAGGTTGACTCTCTTTATCCTTTGTCTCTTAGCCCTAATTCCTGAATAACAAGAATGCTCTTAAAACAAGCCAGTCTCGCTTGCTTGGAGATTAGATAAGAAATAAGGAGGCGATTAATTCTACACGAAACAGGATTTCCTCCCTAAAAGATTTTCACTTCCTACTTTATCAAGTGTCTCGAGCATTCTACAGGAGGCAACTGGTCATTTCGATACAATTTATTTTGATAAAAACTTGAGCATTAAAATTTCAATCTCTTTAAGTATAGTTTGCGTGTGAAAAAGATAAGCACTTTGGGTGAATATTCTTCATTCTTTAAGCCAAGTTTGTAAAACTATTTACAACTAGATGGAATAAACTTGTATTGAACTGACTGGTAACCTTTCAGCATATTATTTTTTATATTGTATTCAACGATTTGTTTTTGAATTATGTGTGTGTAAATACTTGAAAATCAAGGGCCTTGATTTGAGAGAAATTGTATCCTTGATAAAGAGCAGAAAAGTGATGATTATGGTGCATGATTTCAATCATTGCCAAAAGTAAACTGCATGCTCAACACAAGACTTTTGCATACAATGAAAGTTTATGACACCCGACCAGTGAGCCTCACCATCAAAGTTTTACATTAAGATTCTTCTTTTTTCAGCCACTGAGGTTATCACTTGTTCCAGAGTAATCAAAGCTTTCAAGGGATAGAATTTGTGGGCTGACCAGTTCCGGAAAAGCTTGCATTGATTATTTTTTGCATTAATCTTTCCTAAGCTTTCTATGCATGGTTTGTGTCATGCCGTAATTCTTATCCCCAGTTTCTATGGTTTCCGCTAGGAATGCCTGGGACCATGATCCCTTTTGGTGCACAAACATGCAAAAAAAAAAATAACGCTTGCATATTTTGAGTCTCGCAGCTACATTGTACACTGTAAAGCAAGCGAGACTTATTAGGGCTAGGAGACAGAGGAAATAGAGAATCAACCTAAGTTAAAAAAATTTCACCTGAATATACAGTTGTAATTTTGAACTGTAACATAAATACAGTTACTTAACCCATTCGCTCCTGGAGATTTTGCCGAAAAACATGTTTTGAAGCTAGTCGAGTGGTTTTCTGGTCACTGTTGTGCTATAAAGAGCTAAAACTTACCACAAACCGGTTTACAGGTGCTACACTTTGCGGTCGTCTGATCCAGATGCAAAATATCAGCTTGCAAAGTTCAGGCATGCGCAGAAAGCAAAATTTTGAGATAGTGTTTGGGTTTAAAAGTGACACAGCAGTCTTGACTTTCACTTTTCGCTTTCTCTCCTCCCCTCTTTTTTCGCTTTTCTTGCCTCATTTTTTTTTCTCTGGCTGGGCATTTAGTAGGCTTCGTTTTGGTGGGAAGAGTTTTTAGGAAAGCTTTTAGGATCTTAGGATTAGGTGAAAGGAAAGGTAGGTGAGCAATGAAACAAGATTTTCATGGAGATTTTCAGGTCAATGTCACATGGTTTTTTGCCTCTTTCTCCGGTGTCCTTGACTGAATTGTGCTCATTCAGGTATGGTTTGAAAGATCTCTTCACTCTGCACAAGTTAGCGGACAAAGTTGTCTTTGACCATTAAAACTGATGACGTCACAAAGGGTTGAAAGGACTTGGATCCGCACGGGCGGTTACGAGCAGTTCAGGGGCGAATGGGTTAACATAATTTGCATGTTATTGTCATTCCATTCTCACAATCGGAACCATTATAAATTCACAAATAATTTGAACAGCTCTCCAGTTTGATTGCTCAGCTTATTTAGAAAGAGCTTTGACAGTGTCCACTCATTGCAAAGGTCAGGGTTTGAATCCTGGTCAATTATGAATTTGTAGGTTTTCTCTCAACAGTTAAGGTTGATCATATAACTACGAGCACTACATTAAGGCAAGATTTGGCAATCCAACTTTTAAATCTGTGGATGAAATCCTACGTTGTTACCATTCATATGAAATCTCCTCGGCATAACTTTTGTCCAAGACTTGATTGTTACGATTTTGCAAAAAGAATTTTTTTTGTAAAGGTTAAAAACATACTTCTTCAGAAACAGCTCTGCCTTTCTTAAAAGCTTCACTTGTTGTTGCCTCTTCATATGCCTGATGAAAAACAACACCAATAAAATTTGGAACTGGCAATAGTTTTGTAAGTATTTGAGACACAACATCACTGCACACAATCTACAGTACCTTTGACACTTTTGTAGAAAAGGCTCCAGAGAAACTTTTAACAACAGCAGAAGTCCTCATTGAAACAGATGACATGCTGTCCTGTGGAAAACAAAATGACGATTGTAAGTCCAAAGAAAGACAGGAGTAAATTATGCAAATGAGAGATGTGGAAAAAAATAGTTACATACTGCCAGTATCTCATATCAAGAAAATTAAATTTTGATATTTGAATCCCCTGGATGCATCTTTTGAAAGTGGAACCTATTTTAAAACCACTTACAGCAAGCTGAAACCTTACCTTTATTTTGTTAGCAATTCTGACTTTACTTGAGAGTGTTTCAGATTGCTCGTATTTTTTAGCTTCTTGTTGAAATTTCTTTATGTTTTCCTAAAATGCAGAGGAATCAACATGTTGAAATAAATAATTATGTGCTTGTGAAAATCACTTCGCTAGGGAAAAGAAAAGAAAAATAAGTTATCGGTCAAGGAACACATACCTGCATTTCTTTATTTCTTTCAAAGCCCTCCTTTATATTTTCTATAAATCTTCCTATCAAGCCCGGTTGTTCATTTGGTCTTCTGTAAGCAAACCATCTGACCTGCAGTACAAACAATAAACAAGTGAATAAGATAAATGACTTATTAAATTCAGAAGAAGTCTAATCAGTCTATGGAGAAAAGAACAAAAAAGAAGCTGTGAACTACTCTACTACAGCACAGTTAACTACAGAAAAGTATTATTTTGCTTGCAGGTCAAAATGCCTCCACGGTTTGGAAGTTATCTTTGCCTCCTTCAGTGCAAGTTGCAAGGCTTATCAGGGCTTGAAAAAAGGCTTAAATTTCAGCTTTTCCTTAACGCTTGGAAAAAGAACATTTTTCTGCGGGGTGGGAAAATTTCAAAGTCCTTCATGAACAGGAGGTTGTGATTGTTTGATTATTCATTCAAAATAATTCCTAGTTTAAATTAAGCTAAAACATGCTCACCTCCATCGATGCTAAGTTTATCTTAAATTGCCCGTTTATCAGCAAGTTTAGGAGCTAAGGGGTTGTTCAGTACTGCACATATTCTCCAAATAGCAGATGTTGTCCGTCAAGTTGTCTTCTCATCGTTCTTGCTATGTTTTTAACCAGTACTTTGTATATTCCTTCTTCATGAAAAGAGTGAAATATTCTGCCACTTCGTACTCACAACCAAAACAAGTCGTCCTCATTCCTAGGTCTTCTTGGTTAACTGTTCAATAATCTGGCATTTTGCCACACAACTGACATCATTTTTTTTCACATATCCTAAAATTCTTCCAAATTTGGCGGACAGAAGCTTGTTATGATGAATTATGTGTGAGATTTTAGTCAATTAGAAATGGAGAAATATTTTGAATTAATACCGGTAATAATCAATGGACTGCACTGACTGCCTCCAATTAACAGTAGTGACCACTGTCTTAATAGAGGTTAAATTTAGGAATGGAAGGCAAATTCTTTGAATTTGATCTGTGACTGCTAATAGGGACTGACTACTTAACAGAAGGCTGCCTAATAAGGTTTGATGGTATTCTGCAGCTCAGCCAAACGGCTATCAGCTGTCTTAGGCCTGTTTCAAACGTCCTGCTACTGCCATGCTAAGCTGGCTCGACTTAGTTTCAGACGTCCAATTCAGTCAAATAGAACGGCTGCTGCTGAAAACAAAACTCAAAAATCAAGAAAAGGTTTAGCAGCTTTTTAAATATATTCTAATGTATTTTTAATTTATGAATTGAGTTCGGCAAGGCGGTAACACGACGTTTGAAACCAAGTTGAGCTACTGCCGTGTAGCACGCAAAGGTTTGCCATGCTACACGGCACCGTGCTAAAGTCGAGTATAATTCAATCAACTGAGTTTGGCATGGAAGTAGCACGACGTTTGAAATGGGCCTAAGCCTGACTGCATGACTACTGTAATCACTTAAAAAAATTCCAGTGATCTGCATGACAATATGGTACAAAACGAACACATGATAGGGAGAAAATGATCAGTGATTGTTCGCCGCACAATGATGTCTGCGATCATTGCTCGCAGCAATGATCACTGAACCTTCTTCAGTGATCCTAGTGACTTATAATTAGCCTCCATTTCCCCCGCTCTCTCAAATGTGCACCTACGTCACAGGGACAGCGAGTTACGAAGAGACAGACCAGTAAGACGACATTAAACGAGCTTTTACCTGCTGTGAGTTGCATTCTACTAGTCGAAATCTGTCAGGAACAAACGAAGCACCTAGGAAATATCGATTTGCACGTGTGTCAAACATAGCAACACGTGCAAAGTTACGACAATTCTGACACACGTATCTTCCAAGTAGCATCTGTTTCAAGAAAAAAACCAAAGAAGAAGTGTTACTGGTAAGCTTGAAAGAGTTTAGTTAAGTAGACAAGGAAAGAGGAACGATTCTCGTGACATAACTTGCACAATTTCGTCACTAACCTGCGCCATTCTGGATTTTCTTGCCAGCAAAAGAACGCATGCGTAGATGTATTGAAATCACTGACCTAGTAGTGCAGGCTCACGTTAGTTTTATGCAGTGCCCGTGAGGTCCATGAGTGTGTAATCAGGAAAATTGCGATAATTTTGGTCTCAAAATCATTCATCATGAAAATCGCTGTTGAAGGCTGCTGCCATGGTGAACTTGACAAGATTTATGAAACCTTGGAGCACTTGGAAAGAAAAGAAAACATCAAAGTTGACTTGCTTCTTTGCTGCGGAGACTTTCAGGCCGTTCGGAATGAGAACGACCTCTGCTGCATGGCTGTTCCACTGAAGTACCGGCACATGGAGACGTTCTACAAGTATTACTCCGGTGAAAAGAAAGCTCCTTTACTTACGATCTTTATTGGAGGAAATCATGAGGCCTCAAATCACTTATGGGAACTTCCTTACGGCGGATGGGTAGCCCCCAATATCTACTACCTGGGGTATGCTGGAGTTGTGAATTTTGGTGGCATCCGAATTGCAGGTCTTTCCGGTATATATAAGGGCCACGATTATAACAAGGGACATTTTGAGAGGCCACCATATAATAATTCTACAGTCCGCAGTGCTTATCATGTCAGAAGTTTGGATGTTTTCAAATTGAAAATTCTTTCTCAGCCCATTGATATATTTTTGTCACATGACTGGCCACTAGGCGTATATCACCATGGAAACGTACAGGAATTATACAGGTATAAAGAATATTTAAGGTCAGAAATTGAGTCAAATACACTGGGAAGTCCGCCAGCTGGAGAACTTCTCACACTGTTAAGGCCTACGTACTGGTTTGCTGCCCACATGCACACCAAATTTCCAGCATTGGTACCTCATGATTCTAAAGATGGTCGTAAATTCACAAAGTTCCTTGCATTAGATAAGTGCCTCCCAAGACGTGAGTTTTTACAAGTGATCGATTTGGGTCCAACAAAAGCTCCTTTACAACTGTGTTATGATCCTGAGTGGCTTGCGATTTCAAAGCTTACAGACCCTCTCAGCAACATGACTTCACACTTCACTGTCCTTCCAAATCCTGAACAGCTGTCAAGGTTTACACCTGATGAAAAAGTAGTGGCAGAAGTCGGAAAAGTGTTTGGCAATCCACCTAACATTCCTGAGAATTTCAAGATTACTACAGCACCTTTTAATCCAAGCCACCCAAAGAGAATTAACATGGAGCAAGTTCTGCCTGTGATTAATCCTCAAACCGAAACCTATTGTTCTATGCTTGGAATCAAGAATCTTTGTTATTCTGAGAAGAAAGCTGCTGAAACATACAAAAATCCTGAAGAAATTGATCTTAGTGATGATGATAATGTTTGTGCACCTATTGCTGCATCATCCAGAAATCCCGATGAAATTGGAATTGACAGTGACGATGATGTTGAGGATGATGATAACAAGGATGTTAGTGAAAGTAACATAGGCATCAGTGATACAGCTCAATCAGGTCAAATCAAAAGATCTCATCTTGAACTTCCAAAGCCTTCAAATTCTTGTATACTGGGTACAGAGAATGCATTATTTGCAAGTGATAGTTCTCACTGTGATGATAAGGGATCTGACAGTGTGATGACAGAGGAATTTCCTGAAGATTGTCCAAAGTTAGAGCCTCAGAAGAAGGTCTTGAAGCTCAAGAGGAGAAATCAATCACTTTACACATCAAATGACAATGCAGAAGATAGTGATGACTGAAACAAACAACTTTATTTTGATTTTTTTAAAAGGAGTGAACTGACTACCGGCAAATAGTCCATTTTTGTATTTAATATTACCTCTTAATAACAAACACCAAATTATGATGCATTGATGCAAGGTTACTCTGGACCTGAAGTAAAATATTCACAATTAGTGGCCGGAAGGTTCCAGAAATTTGAGAATAAACAATAGAAAAAGTTGTAAACAGGTCTTTGTCTCACTGGAATTTGTGAATAAACCTGTATGAATTCACTCCCAGTGGAGCCTAACATGGTAAAAAGGCATCTTCAGTACTTTTAATCTGTTAGTCATAGGAAACTTCCAGTAAACTGGATTCTTAAAATATGTCTATGAAATAACCAGAGAATATACTGCAGTAATACAGTAGTATATCATTCAGTGCTTTCAGGTCGTAGTAGGTTGCAAGTGTATAGGTAATATTCAAGGTTTTTCTTTACCCCTGTACATACCTCTTCACCAAAACAACACTGCATTTGTACTTTTTGTCTTTTGCTTCCTTCTACTCAAGTGCTTAAGTTTAACTTTGGCCAGTAGTTAGCACAGTTAACATTTTAGTTAGTGTCCAAACTGAAGTGTAGCCTGATTCTCAGATGTCTGAGGTCTTTTATAATAATGATAATAATAATGATCGTTTATTCAACCTATTTGCAGCATAAACTGAATTACAAGGCGGGTCATTAATTACATACAAATACCTCGGAATTATGACACGCAAATATAACTGTTAATGTTAAGACATATCACATTTCGCTATTTTAAACGTGATTCTGGTATTTGATGGTGCAAAAATTTCCAAATCTGTTAGTTCTTGAGGAGGCAGGCACAGAAACAGATTCTCCTGTTCTAAGGGCATACGGTCTTGTGTGCGCAACTCGCGGCACTAAGCTTCGTAGCAGGTCGGAAGAAGAGTAACTTCACTTGAGAAATGTTATGCACACATCCTCCCTCCTCTGGCGCAGCAAAATTAAGCCTGATTTCTTCAGCGCGTCCTCATAGCACAGAGAAGGAAAAATAATTTTTAGCGCCCTCTTTTGTATTCATTCAATTTGATCACTGAAGTATTGCGTGAGGCCAGCCCAAGCGGGACTCACATACTCTAAAACAGACCTGATGATACTACAATGGACAAGAATAAGCTGCCTATCAGTTAGTCTGCACTTCTTAAGGGCGCGTATTGCATATAACCGCTTACTCCCTTTCTTTACAATATGAGTGACATGCTCGTTCCATGTTAAGTTATCCGACAAGTGAACCCCTAACAGCTTGCAATAGGAAATCTTTTCTATCGGAGAGCTACCAACCAGTAGAGGGGCTGGGCAATACTGCAAAAAACTATTGCACATTTCCTTGCATTTTTTACCTTCCTTGCATTTTTTGCGTTCCTTTCGCTTTCCCCCCTCTAAGGGACCGCGAACGACCTCGGATGTCTGAGAATCAGCCTAAGTTAACTGAAGTGGGGACCAAAAAGGTATTCTTTTTACCGAAATGGCATATATATGCATTGGACAGTCAACACTAAAACTTGTGTTCATTCTATATGATTATTCTATTCTACCATTTCTCTTTTAGTTTATGAGTAATTTTAATGTGATCCAGGTTTATGCTGTTTTTCAGCCATGTATACATCCATGACAGTTTCTGACGCTGACTTCCTCTGTTGGGTTTGACGAACTCCAGCTTCAGAAATAGTACTGAGATATTGCTTTTACTGGTGATTATGCACATAGTGACATTCAATTACACACAATGATGTTTACGCAGTTGCCTGCATTGATTCTTCTATTTGCAAACTTAGAAGCAAAAGCATGTAGGAATGAACAGGTGTAAACAATGTCAGAAAGGTGACCACACTGCCCCTGGGAGGGGGGGAGTGATGTTCCACACTGTTATTTCTTCACTGCCATCCCAAACTCATTAATGTGAGGACGACTTGTTGTAAATAAAATTACACATCTGGTAATATTACATGACATCGTGATTTATAGGGTTCATATAGAAAATGCAAAACACGGACAATAATAGTACCAGATGTATTAACTTTTAACAAATGCTCAGATGGTGATTTGGGATATCTGTGATGTCTTGCCTATTTTTTAAAAGCCCACAACACAATATTGAACTATGGCATAGCCATCAAGGAAATAGGGGGTGTTTTAATAAATGTCGAATCGCATTGTTTCAGATTATGCTAGCCTGCACAGGAAGTAGTAGGCGCAAGAAAGAACGGGCACGGAAGGGGAGAGGGAGCCTGTCTCCCTCTTGTGTCCATGTTCTTTCTTGCGCCCACTATTTCCAAGAGCAGGCTATGATTATGCAAGTTAGAGATTCTCTAGAGACAAAGAAATTGTGTTGTTATCATAAGTTTGGACAGCTCATGAAAATAGCCAACATTTTACAACCCCACCACTGGTTTTGAAAAAATTCCCCGAAAAATGGCATCTTAGGAATGAGTGCAGAAATTTCATACTGATGACAAGTCACTACCCAGATCTGGATAGTGCTTCTGATTGGTTGTGCTGCATGACAAATTTGCTACAACCAATCAGAAGGACTACCCATATCTGGGTGGTAAAATGTCATCAGTATCAAATCCTGGCAGTTGTTTCTTAGGGGTTATTTTGCGGGGAAACCAGTGCTGTTGTCACGAAATGTGAGTGAAAATTGAGCCATGACCTTAATGGCGTTTGTGAAGGAGACTAGAGTTTGGATGGCCCTAGAGAAATGCAGAAATAGATAGTTTACCCACAATTTCCTTCCACGCGCAAGACACGCGCAAGCGAAACGCGGAAGTTTTGTGAGCCCGCGACCCAATGCTCAAGCTGACAGATGTAAAGCATGCGCATTGGAGCTAAAACCACGCGCGGAAAAGAAAATGGCGGACGTGCTCGATGTAGATGTGGAAGACAAAGGAGGTTTTTCAGAAGACGAAGGCGATGGTAAGAGCTAAAACACTGTTTTAAACTGAGGATTGTTCGCCATACAAGAGTTATGCCATTGAATATTTTGCAGATAGTATTCAGAGATTGAAGTCTGCTGTCACAAAGCGAAAAGGAAGAGGATTCAAAGCCGGTATTAACACTTTAGCTGAATGTTACTTTACGTTGCTCTTCCACCACAAATGTTATCACTTATTTGATGTGTTGCGTGAATTCAAAATAGCACTGTT